AACTTCAGAGTCAATAAGTATAGCAATATTATCACCTTTAGAATCAACTTTTTTTCAGAAACCCTTTCCACAAGAGAAAATCTTTACAAATTATATTCAAAACAATATCCTGTTCCTGATATAGTCTATATACTGAAGATATTAAATATGTCTTCAAATGTTCATCAGCTTTAGAAGATGTCGACCAACTTATTAATACTATTAATAATATCTTTCACTCCAATAATAATTACAAGCCAATTTCACATGCCTGGCAATTAGCAGAACTGGAATGTGGCATTATTGACAATATCTTTTTCACAACTAACTTCTCCAACTGGGTTGAAGCCTTAACTGAGACCTTAACTTACCTATATAAATTAGTATGGATATCTTACTACACTACAGCAAATATTTCTTTCCTTACCAGTATTAAATGAAACAATAATTCTTATAGCAGCATATTGTTACACTTGATCTTCACCCAAGATCATCACTACTCTTTGCCTGATTTTTACTAGCATTTACCCTTGAAATGTTATCCATTCTAGAATAATTCTTGTATTACTATTCTTGTTATTGTATAGCACTGTACTTTTTGTGCTATTGTTGCTCTAGAATATTTCCTTTTTTTATTTATTTCTCTTTATTATTGTATCTTCACCAGAATATTTGTTTCTATGTTAACATATACAGATAACTGTTTTGACAAATATAACACTTCTTTTATATTTTTATTATTTCTTATAACTCATAATTTTCATGTATGAAAATAATATAACTCAAATATGTATATAAAGGATCCAATTTCGTCTAGGAATTGGTAGGCTTGAACAAATATTTTATTAAATAAATAACTTGACTTTTGAAAAACAAATCACTATTGCCTCTTTCGCCTGATCTCATACACCTTAGAACTGTACTAATTTATATGTCTCTAAGAACTTCAGCATACTATATTGGTCCTGTCCATCTAAAGTGCCTCTCTGCTATTAGTTCTCTGTCTTTATCTTTTTCCTGAAATAGAAACGATATATGATGGTAGGTGTTGGTGTGCCACTTTGCATATTGTCTTCCAGGTAGTGTTCCATAGTTTGTTGGCTGTGTATTCCTCTGTGTTGTTTGTGATGTCTTGTTTGTTGATTTCCTCATCTATCTGGTAGTTGTATCCTTTCCATTGTCTTGGGGATGCTCTTTTAATGTCGAATACATTTTTCCTGTTGAATGATTGTGGGTTTTTCTGTTTGGTTGTTAGTTTTGTAACTTCAATTCTACATGTGGCAATGTCATGGTCACTGTTGGTTATCATTTGGATAACTCGATGTCTACCTCTATTAGATCCCAATCATTGTTTGATAACTTTCATATGTAGTCAATTCGTAATCGGGTTGCGCGCATATTTGTCCATGTAAATCTTTTCTGGACTGGCCAGAGTTCTCTAAATATGTCAATGTGATTTAACTGAAGAAGTGTCTTCATCACTGGAGAAGATGTGAGTTGATTTTTGCCTGGTGGATGTTTGTCGATTCTTGGATTGCAATGTGAGTTGAAGTCCTCTATTGTAATTATATGACTACCTCTGTGGTGTCTTGTCCAGATTTTTTTCCTTGCCCAATTTATAATTGGCTTGTACTCTTGGTTGCTTTGGATGGGGATGTATATTTCTATTATGCTGATGAGTTTATGGGCTTTAAAGTTTAGGTCCACACATATGCCTCTGCCAGACCTGTTTTCAATTTTGCCTATATAGTTTGCAATTTCCTCCTTGATCATAATCATTATGTTAGCACTTTTGTTGTTGATGCTCCATGTTGTGTAGTACCCTGGCATTTTTCAATATTTGTGGCTGTCTGTTATGATTTGGGTTTTGTGAGTACTGCTATGTCTATATTTTCTTCTTTGCAGAATTTAATCCATGTCTCTCTTTTGGCTTTGCTATTAAAGCTCCTGATGTTATATGTTGCCAGCTTCCATGTTTTGTATTCTGGGGATATCCTATGTTCGAGATTGGTGACATTGCCTTATTTTTCCTTGTCCTTTTCGGGAGATAGTACCTTTCTTTTGTTGTTGCTGTCTGTCTTTGACTTGTAGTTATGTGCGTCTATAGTGTTGATGATCTGTTGGATTTTGTTTAGTCATGAGGGGTCTTCGATTTGAGGTTTTTGTATAATGTTTGTTGTATATATATTTGAAGGAATGGATTGTCTTTCGTTTTCTTCTGTAGTCGTACTTGTGTCTTCTTTTGAATAATTATTAATTGAATTATATAGTATTGCTAAGTTGTTTATGATGCTTTCTGCATCTGTTGTTGTGCTGTAGCTGTTACCTATATTATTGTTGATTGGGGAGGTTCTTGTCTCCCGAGATATATGTGTGGATGATATTAGACAGATTGTTCATGTTTTGGTTACTGTTGTTGATAGTTACATAGATTTGTTGCTGTTGGACTTATAAGTCTACAATCTCTTGCCTTTGGAGAATGTTGTTTTTGAAAGTTTCAGACTGAGTTGCCGATTCTTCAGGTGTATGTTTCTCACAGGTGGTGTCTGCCTCTATTGCTCCAATCCCATCTTTTTTATAGTACTCCAAATTTGTAATTCTTTTGTCTAGTTCCATCATCTGTTGTTTGATTTCTTGGATGTCTTGCTGCATTTGTCGAAGTAGCCTTGTGATTTCTGTGGTGCTAGAATTTTTTGTTATGTCATTTGTAGTTTTAGGTTGTTGTCTCACTGCTGCTGTATAAGAGCCTGGCCTGTGTTGGCGAGTGTTGAGTTTGCTAAGTTCAAATGTTTTTCTGATATTTGTTGTCCTGGCGGGTTTGTATTTTTGGTAAAGTCTGCCAAATCTGTTTGCTTGTTCTTGGTTGTATGATTTCCATTGTGCCTGGCATGTCTTTACTAGACAGAGTGCTGCCAGGTGTTCATTAGAATCACAGATAGCATAGGTTTTGTTTTCCATATTTGCCCATGTGATAAGTGTTTCATCAAGGGTGTAGTCTTGCTGCATGGCTTGCTGAAGATCTTGTTTTGTCTCAAAACTGAGTACTGATACTTTTCTTCTCTTTTATGTTCCTGTTCTTGGGATGTAGCATGTCTTCGCTTTGGTTTACTGGCATATATGTCTCAGATCAAATGCTGTTGTGTTAGGTGGGAGGTTTACTAGTTTTGTCACCCATCTGCCTTTTCCTTTCATCTCTTCCAGATTCCATTTTGTATCAAATACCCTGACTAAGTCTGCTTTCAGTGGTACGTTTCACATGTCAGCCACTCTCTTTTTGCTTTCGTAGTCCTGATAGGTAATTGTGGCTGATTGCCACATTTGTTGTGTACTCATGTTGATATTTTGTATCTTAACATATTTGGCAAAGATTTGTTCTACCTCTATTGACCTTGTCTCTAGTGGGATGTCCCATACTCTAATATTATTTCCCAATTTGGGAGTGTGTCTGTGGGTTGAATGAGTTACATGTATTTGTCTTTCATGTTTGATAGGTTGATTGAGCAGACTTGTTTCGCTGTTTGTTGATCACTGAAAATAGCAAAGATCTGTTCATTTTCTTTTCTTCCTTTGCTGCCAATTTTGAGAAGTCTCTCAGGCTGTTTAGAGCCTTCATAATAAATTGAATTTTCTTCCAGGTATATTTCCCTGGTATTTCTGATGTCTTTATTTCAATTTTGTACTGTTGTCTACAATACCTTGTTGCCCTCTCAAAAGAAGATCTTGGTCTGAACTTCATGACTCTTTTCTGTGTAGCTTTTCCTTTCCTTGCCATGTTCCACTCTTTCTCTATATTGTCTTCCTGTTCAAATGTTTCCATTTCCGTATCATTGTCATTGATGTGCATGTGTGTGTTGGCCATTATTGACCTGGTATTTGTGCTTGTTAAAAAGTTTCTCTGATGTTTTACTCCTGTACTTTGCTATCAATTCTTTTGGTTCTTTTGCCATTGACTCTTCTACCATTTGACTCCATAATTCCATGGCGGGTTGTTGGGGCAATTTTTTCTCTTGTACTGCTGCTTCTTGGTTCTGTTTTCCTTTATTGGTGTTTGTCTGTATAGTGTTTCCTGTCATTTTGGTTGCCTCTAGCTTGGGTAGGGGAGAGGTTTGTTTCTCTTGATTTCTATATGTTTCTACCTGTCGACATGTCTGCCACATTGTAGTTTGGACTATTGACTGAGTTGGAACTTCTAAGGTTTCTTTGCAAACTCATATTGTCACTTTATAAAATTTCCTAATTTGGTAACTGTGTGCAAGTGGGAAAGAGTGTTTTTTTTGACAGTGTTAATAATAACAATAGTTATAATAATAGCAATAACTATAACAATAAACAATATCAATTATACTCTACTATTTATGTTAAATGTTTAAAAAATTTTTTTGATATTATGTAGATAAAGATTATATAAGCAACTTAGCATTTATTCATTTTTAATATACATAAGAGAAACTATTTCTTTTATGAAGTGTACTATATATATATACAAATTAAATAAAGAAATGATATTTACCTATAAGATAAAAAAATTTTTACAAGAAAATAGAATTATAAATTAAGAAGAATAATTTTGAAATTTAATTTTTTGTCAGTAGCAATTTATTTATTAAATATTTTTTTAAGATATAATAAATAATATCAATTGATTACAGATTTTTTGTTAAAACATTAGCTTTAGAAACAATATGAATATTAAAATCAAAATGAAAATGAAAAAATTATAAAAAGTTAATTGTAAATTTTTATAATAAAATATTATTAAAAATTAGAAAAGTTTTCATTGCATATGGATTGTATATGCTGTTTTTACTTACTTAATATGCAAAAGTAAATATAATTATAAGATAAAAGGTTTAATATGTAATAACTTTTTCGTATAAATTCTCGTGCATCTGGTTTTCTTTTATCAAGTGAACCAGGGCCTAAAATTTTTTTGATGGTTGTAACTACTTTAATTAATGCTTCAATCATCAACACATATAGACTATTTGTACACAGTTTCTTTTATTGATAGTTGACCGTAAATGCAAGTTGTCTTTGATTTGCCATACGGTCTCGGTGTGTACTTAGGGAGTAAAATTATTTTTATTATACTTTTTTTTAAACATTAATTTATTGTATATTATTCATCTCTAGTCATAATACAGTATATAGTACATTTATTTTTTGGAAGCATTATAGGCCCTTTATTATGGAGCTTTTGCAAGAGTTCATGGAGATCAAATAGGAAGGAAACTCGATTTAAGATTCTCTGGCGGTTTGGTTGAGATGGTTTTATGTTTATTGGTATCTTAGATGAACACGAATCCTTGACGCACGACAATTTTATTTTTTTTTTCAGTAAAAAATTTTTTTGGCTTTTTGGAAAAAAAAATACGGGAATGCTAAAAAAAGAAGCTATTGTTTTCTTTCGAATATATTTTTGTCAAAGCAGCACAGTTAATAAAATTGTGTAATGTTCACGAAAGGATAGTGAAGAGGGGCATCTTTATAAGATTGAATGTTACACTTGTTCAACCGAGCTTGTATGTCATGACACCTTGTAAGAGGAAGTAATTATCAATTTGATTTTTACTGTACTTTTTACATCCAAATATATAGAAATGATTAGTGACTATGACTGCATTATTGAACTTTTGCCTTCTTCCATTTTTTTGACTAAATTATTTATTTTATTTTATTTGCATTACTATAGCATAAAAAATGTTCATTAAAAAGAAAGAGAAGAGAAAAGTTGAGAATAAATCATTTAAGAAAAATATAATAAAATCAATCGCAATAAATAAAAAGTTATAAAAAATTATTATCAACCAATAATATTTTTTAAAAAAAAAACAATCATAAAAAGTATGAACATATACTAAATTTATCTTTGCATTTTAGATTTATCAAGCCAATATTTTGCATTCCTCATTTTTCTTGTGGTTCCAATCCCATCCCGATAACAAATTCCAAGATTTTTTTGTCCCTGACTGTATCCACGCTCAGCAGACTTCAAATACCACTGAAATGCTTTCTCATAGTCTCGAGTGGTTCCAATTCCTTCTTGATAACAATATGCAAGACAAAATTGTCCACCGACGCATCCGCCTTCAGCAGATTTCTGATACCACAGAAATGCTTTCTCATTATCTTGAGTGGTCCCGTTTTCCTTGCGATAAAATTCTCCAAGATTACATTGCCCCTGATGATCTCCACCTTCAGCAGATTTTATATACCACTGAAATGCTTTCTCATAGTCTCGAGTGGTTCCAATTCCTTCTTTATAACAATATCCAAGACCACATTGTCCACCGGCATTTCCGCCTTCAGCAGATTTCTGGAACCAGTGAAATACTTTTTCGAAGTCTGTAGTGGTTCCAACTCCCTTAAAATAACAATCCCCAAGACTACGTTGTCCATCGGTATTTCCACCCTCAGCGGATTTCAAGTACCATTGAAATGCTTTTTCGTCGTCTTTAGTGGTCCCAATTCCATTTGTAAAAAGAACTCCAAGGATCATTGCATTTTGAGGGGTTTGATGTCGGTTAGCTAATAAATTAAAAATCTGTTCTGAAGTCGTCTGATTGTTTTTAATAAAGGTATTAATACAAGTTGTTAACTCCGAATTAGAAAGTCTTTTACTTATTTGATCGACAATAAGTTGATATAATTTGTCTAACGTGTTGTGCTCACAATACTTAGGTTCATCTGAGGTTTTTAAGGTTTTTGATTTTAAAAATGGGCTCATCCGTTCTTTTTGGAAGTTTTTGAATGATCACCGATCTTGCAGGTAAAATAATTGACTCTATTTCTTTATCGGGAGCAAGAAAATTGCCAATTATATCATTCCAAAGTTGTTTTTCTAAAATCTTTTTGTACGGTTTTAATTTGTTAGCAACATCTTCACCGGAAAATTGAAAATAACGAATAAGGGGTAAGCATTTTTGAAGAATTCTCTTTAGATTCCTAAAATTTTCTTTTGACCAATCCTCGATTTCCGAAGGCAGGGTGGGATCTTGAGCAATTCCCCATTGAATAATTTTATCCCAAATCTTGACTTCTTCGATTTGCAAATCATCTCTTTCCAGAAGAGAAACTAACGCTGCTTCTTTAATAGAAGTAAAATCATCTGCGTCAAATATAAGATTAGGATATTTTGCTATTATGTCATTGCAAAAACTTTCTAAGTTTATAAAGTGACCCTTTTTATCAAATATCGAACGATAAATGAGAGAAAAGTGTGTACGTAACCAAGATGATTTATATTCGATAAGATAACATTCCAATTTTTTGGACAATTCTTCGAATTCAAGCTCATCGACGGATACCATTAAATCAAAAACAAACATATTATCCATATTTTCTAGATCAACAACCCCTCCATAGATATATCTATAAACGTAAATAAGAAATATATTCAGATATACTGTAAGTTATTGTAATTATTTTATATTTAATTTTATTGAGGCGTCTTTAAGTACTTTCTCACCTGAGTATTACTTCGAAAACTTAAGCAGAAGTGTTAGGTTTTACAATAGTTCTAATACGCCGTTCATTTTCGTAAATTTTCGTTAATTCTTTTCGAAAGAAAATCGATCTATAACGCAATACTGCCGAGTGTGCAGTAAATAATCTCTTGTTTAATTCTTTATCAATCACGAAGATAACATTATAGTCTTCTTTATCGTCTAGTAGTTCCGTAAAGTCTTTTGATAGTTTTTCTAGAAATTTTAAATTCATTTTTTTTAAGAATTATGCACAGTAGGGTTGGCGCATAATTACAATCGGATATAAAGGCCCACACATTATTGCATGTATTACATAAGAAATACAGTATGTAACAACAATAAACTTTTATCACGCCTCAATTACTATAATAAATTTGAAATACAAAACCATAGAATTTTTAACATGATACAGTACTGTATATGTTCGCCATTTTCTCGTATAACAAGCTCACACTGATGATATGTTGATTGGACCAGACTACTGTATAACTATGATTAAATCAATCTAGTGTATGAGACAAAAATAAGATGGTCAAGACGCGACAATAGTCACGTATCGATATTTAATCGGTGTATCGCGATCAACTTGTAACAAAAATGTAATTAATGACGAATAATGAGAAGACATTATCTAATTTAGAATCACTTGTTCTATCTTCTTTTACTCTTTAAAAGATTCCATCAAGATAGCTAAAACATGTATAAAAAGGATAAAAAAAGTATCTAATAAAAGAGAATTCAGTCAAGTCAAATCTGCCTCTTATTGATAAATTAAGGTAATAATTACGCAAACTCTGCTTTTGGTTAGCGACAGACTCACCATTAGCCGTCACACTAGCATAAAAGTCATGAAAAATATTTTTAATAAGTTATTTATAAAAATATATATTATTCTATTGTTTATTTTTATCTATTGTTGGGGATATAATCAGCGAGTCAGTCACCACAGTACGTCGCTATCGCTGATCGTGTAACATCGAAAGAGGCGTTAGGATATGGCATGAGGTAAGTGAAGATATTAAATAATGAGTTGTGTATTTGTCAAAAGATATTTTATTGGTTTTATTTTTTCTTAATCTAATTTTCTCTCTTTTATACATATAAAAAAAATGTTAAAAATAATAAAAATCTTACAAATTCCTCAAGTCCCAATTATATTTTAATTGGGTGATGACATTGTGTATTTCTATTACATAATTCCTTTTACTTTTCTACACTATATACTGCATATTAATATTTTATATTATTTTAAATAAAGTAATAATAACAAGGAATAAGTTTTGGATTATATAACATGTAATTAAATAGTTCTAAAAAATAACTCACAATAAAACAAGTTAGAGAACACAAACAATTTAATTTCAATATTTATTATTTATGCTACTTCAGTACCTAAATATCTATTATTTATCAATAAATTTTTATCTTAATAATTAGATTTGATAAATCTTTAGTAAAGAAAAAAAAACCTGAGTTATAATAGTAATTTAAAATTTTTTGAATAAAACAATTTTTACTTAATTGATTATATTTTCAATAATTATTTAAAAAAAATTAAATAAAAAATAAATAAATATATTTTATAAATTAACTTATTTAATTAAAATCAATAAATATTAAATTTATAATTTTTTTATAGGAGCTATATGTAATTGTCAAATAATTAATCTAAAATTTGTTTCAAAATTTTCAAATTTCATATTGAAATTAATTTATAAAATAAAAAAACAAATCAATTTTAATAATATTGTCTATATGATATAGAAAACATTTGATAAAATATTTTTATATTAAATATATATATTTTTTAATTGTAAATTAATTTCGAAAAATTTTTTTTATCAAAGCAAAAAGATTTTGAAATTTAAAATTTTTGATTGAAAAAAATAACTTTCATATAGTATTTAATTATAGTATACAGTATATGTAGAAATAAAAAACCTTTTAAAAAAATATTTTTTCTGGACCATAATTTAACTTTGATATCTTAATCTACCCCTTCAATATATTAAAATAATATACCTTTTGATTATTAAAAAATATATGCACATGTAAAATTTTTCAACTTATTTAAATAAAATCTTGTTTATTTGTAACAAAAATAATTTTAAAAAAATATTGATTCCCACTGTATATAAAAACATATATAAATCAGTATCGAGTTACATACCAACAAGTTTTTTTTCATGAAAAATGGAATTTTTTTTAATAACTTGTCATGTTTATTATATTGTAGTAAAAAATTGATCCGCAATATATTGTACATAATACACGACACGTTTGTGAAAATTAAAATGTCGACTTAAATTAATATAGACAAGTTATTAGCAAGGAACAGGATTTAGAAAATTGTTATTACTGTAGTAAATATATGTTATGCAAAAACTCAGCCAAGCGAGTGATAGAATCGCCGTAATTTACAAAAATATAACAATATAGTACAACATATGGCAAAAGTACTGATCGTTTTAACAAATACTGTAAATTTATATGTACCTATAATAAAAATAATTTTAACGAATATAATAAGTAAATTCAATGTTTAAACAACAAATATAATATAATAAATTTAAGGCTCAAGTCAATAAAAAATAAATAAACGTGAAAAAAACAAAACAAATAATAATAGAATTAATTCCTATTGCTACATAAAATATCATCCAAGCATTTAACAAGATCCGTTGTATCATAATGCGCTACTTTTGGCATCCCTACAAGTTTTAAAATACCATCTATAACAATAAAAAAACGGAATGGCCATGGTGAATACAATTTTAAGAAACTATCGTCCATTGTATCTGCTAGTACTGGAATTTTCAACTGGGTTTTTTCGACCATCTCACGTGCAGCGGTCAGACGGTCAGATAATGTGCGATGCTCCTTGACATCAACAATATTACCAATAGGCCAAACATCGGAAGCATGGGCTTCTCGAATTTGAATCATATAAAAATCGACTTGCGCTTTATATCGAGTATATATATCATTAAGTACGTGAGATATGTATCTATATAAGGGACAAGTATAGGATCCGCCAAATAGAACAAGAGGTCGCCCTGATTTATAAAGTAAGCGCAAAGAAACCATATTTGGTGAATTGGTGTTACTATTAATAACCATTGTTTTGAACATAGAAGGTTCGAGGGGAATCAATGAACAATCAGGCGCCGACATTCCTTCGGTAAGGTTTCCAATATTGGCAATATTGTTTCGAACATATACTTGAGTTGTGTGAAATTCAGGATCGTCTGGAAACGTGAAGAGACATCAATATTAAGATATAAATTGTTAAAAGAAAGAAATAATGTATTTAATTACTCGGATAAAGTTGTGGCGCACGCCGTAATAATTGCACTGCTTCATCCGAATATCCAAATTCTCGAACTAACTCATGCTGCATCTGATCAGTGACATCCATCCAATCCATACCACATGTAGGATCATTACCAACTTCATAATACTTTCTTTGCATTTCTGGTGAAAGCCTTCGGCGCTCTTCCTCACGTAACAGAGTCAACAATTTCTCTTTTGTGTCAGGTAATATTGGGAAGATGTTAACAGAAGCAGATAAGATATCTTCGTGAGTCGCCTTTGGATCTACGGGGTCCGTGAGTTTCAGAAAATGATGTTGCACATTATGAAGCAGGTTGGACATTTTGATGCAATCAAAGCACAAGTCATAATCAAGGCATTCTGAACATTTATACCTGTTAATGTCAAAAAAATTGCACTAGTGTAAAAATGGATACTGTCAAGCTCAATTAAATTTTGTGAATATTATTAACCTCATCCCTTTCCATTCGCGTTTTCTACAATAATTACAGACAATACCAGCATGAATTCCCTTACTTAGACGTTCCTCAGGTGTTATTGTATATTGTGTAAGTGATGGCAATGCATTAAATTCATTTCGACCACTAGTTTCTTGAAACATCCCGCCACGTAATGCAAGTACAAGATGGATTAAAGACTCTCTTTCGATAGGATAGTCAGACAAGAGACGATGGTTTTCTAATTGCTTTCTCCCATAAATAAGACGTTGTTGATCGTGAGGGATTTTTTCTTTTTCATATAGCTTTAATTTAAGGTCGCTAATGGTGTTAGTTGATTCCACTGACAGATTTATCTTCTTTCCACTCAATAGTACCACATATACATTATCATTATCACTAAAATAATTATTGCATAAGTCTAAGGTAGACTCATTAGTAACATGATAAGAAATTAAGGTTTTTTCGGAAAACAAGATATTGTTAGAAAATTCGAGATGAACTTGATTCAAGGAGATGCCTTCTTTCTCTTCTATCATTCGCCTGACTTGTTCGATGGTGAAATTTTTTTCTACTCCTAGCTTTATGATTTTTTTGCCCATCAAATTGACATTGATTGTCATTTTTTCATATTCTAAACGCAATGTAGACCCTTCTCTGATATAGCATGATGACAAGAATTCATGATCTTGCATTAAATCATGAAAAAAAAGATATTGTTGGTGATATGGAATGCCTTCTTTATCCTGGATCATTTTTTTAATAGTCTCAACTTTGTAATCTCTCTTTACTCGCAGTTCTATGACTTTTCCGTCTATTGCATTAACAAAAATCTTTATTTCTTTGTATCCTAGATCCAATGTGGATCCATTTTGAATATCGTAATACGATAATGTATTTTGATCACATAATTCCTTGTTTAAAAAAAAGAGAGATAATTGTTCTACAGGGAGGAATTCTTTTTCCAGGATCTTTTGTTTAATCTGTTTAATCGTTTCTTTTGTCTCCGCATCTATGTTTATAATTAATCCGGTATTTTTTTTTACGAAAATCATTGATTTAATCTCTAGATTAATTACAGACCGATTTTTGATTTCGTAAGATGGCAGGATGCAATCGTCATATAATTCTTTTCCATTAAAAGTGATGCGCTGCATTGCAAAGGGGATGTGTTTTTTATCCTCAATCATTGATTTAATTTTATGGATGGAATTATCAGGAGGTGTTGACTCATGTTCTATTGTTTCTCCAGTCTCCATTCTTATATAAATAATCATTTCTTTATAGGTTAGATACAATGTCGATTCCTTTTGAATATTGTAATACGACAAAGTATAATGACCTTCCAATTCAATGTCATTAAAAGTAACAATTTGTTTTTGTGGGGAAATACCTTCCAAATTATGGATCATATTCTTAATATGACTAATTGTATCACTCCAGTATACCTCCAGTTCTGTTTTTTTGCTAGGCGTCTTCAAGAAAATTGTCATTGAGCTTCTTGGTTTATCGGGTGTAAAATCGAACTCTATTCTCTTAGATCCATTGGAATTTTTACGTCTTCTAGGTGCTACATATACTATATTTCCTTTCTAGAGTTACAAATTTTTTTTTTAAAAAAAAAATCAGCATTTACTCCGGTCAATACAAAAAGCTGCAATAATCATCTAACCTTAATTCCCAATTCTTTAAGTGTATCAGAAAGCTGGATGTCCTTATCATTGTATATGAGCTTATAGTCACCTTGAAATATGCACCTTTTGTAATTCAATAACAATATCTTTCCAGTAGTATGCGTAGTCACGTTTGCTACATGCATAGATTCTTCTTCTTTATTTATTAGGCGGATAGAAAAAATTGGACCAGATTCAAGCAAAGAAGTCAAGAGCATTTTAAGATGATACGTACTTTTTTGCAAAAAAAAAAAAGGTCTTTATATAAGAATTATCTAACAGAACGATAGATTAATTTGGTAATTTCTATGGATGTGCACTAGTTAATCTACACGAATACTTTTTATACGTATTATAAAAATGTAATGAAAAAGCATTGGTTATGTAATATTAATCCAACTAAAACTAATTGCATGTGCCAGGAAACCTTAGTAAACATTAGTTGGTATTGTAGCAGTCTAACGGCAAGTCAGTCATTAACTCCGACCGTATTTTTGCGTAACCCAAACAAAGCGTCATGCTCCTTTTAATGCTAATATAGAAATACATACTGTGACGGTGTAACGGCGAGTCAGTCGCTAATTCTAGCAGAGATTCGCATAACCATTTACTGGGTAAATAAATGAAAGGGTGATTTTAGGCGTGTTTTTATTTGACCAAGTCTTTATTAATTTTCTCACTTCCTAATTTCGTGTCTCCTCCTTTTACATTCTTTATACTTCTCTTTCTTTACATTTGGCTATGGCGGCTTGGGCATGACATAATAAGTGCTAATACAACGACATGGCTAAAGTCAGATGACATAATCCTTTTTCACAATTCTCTCCATCCTTCCTTTATTACCTAATTATCTCAGACGTCTTACCATTGTCACGTCGATCGGTTATGTGACTAACGTCGCGTCGCCATTTCTCCCTGTTACAATACATTTTATATTAAAAACCCATGCAACTTTAAAGAAAAAACAGTAACAAAAGAATATCCTAATCATTTAAACTATCTTCGCACGCATTACAGTACTTTTTATAGCTTTTTATCATCTGCAACATACATATTTCATTCTGCCTACTGTGCATGCTATCCGCGGTGAATCTGATTGTCGCTCATTGCACAGATTTATGTGTCACAACTACATTGACTTTAATACTGTACTGATACATTTTTCACAATCTTTTTGCTTACGAATATCATTATTACAATATGTTAGGCAAGCTATTATAGGTTTACTATCTTCTATCTTTTCATGCCGAAATTCTGAAAACACATCGTGGAGAACATGTTAGCGATCGCGAATCAAACTTTAACCTTAGCATTAACATGTTATGCATCGTTCGTTTTCAATTAGTCACGTAGCTCATTAAATTTTTTTCAAAAGTTTAAAATAAACCCTCTCAAAGTATTTAAAGCGAAAAATCATAAATAATAAAGGCGCAAAAAAAATTTTTTTTTTGACATATTAAAAAAAAAAATAATAATTTGGCATGTCATGAAAAAAGAAAAATAACTTGTCATCATATAATTCATGAGATAGGCTTTTTTAAAACCAATAATAATTTAATAAGATAAATCAATTGGAAAGATATACTGTAATTCTAGACAATTTAAAAGTAGTATTTTAAAATCCAAACTCACCTACTGATGGTTTAATAAAATACTGTAAATAGATTATAAAATCGATTACAGTACTGTAGGATATAGTTCTGATCGATCCGAAAATGAATGCTCTAAACTCAAACTCACCATCTAATAGTTTAATGGAACAAATGAAGCCTGACGATTCAATAAAATCAATAAGGTATAAAGTTGATTAGAGAGATACAGTTCCGATTATTCTACGTATTATAAAACTTAAACTTACAGTCTAATGGGTTAATAAAATGAATAAATTATAAAATCAATTATCAGATTAATCTAGAAACGAATATTATATACTGTAATCTATACTTACGTTTCAATAGTTTAATAAAATAAAGTAAATTACAAAATCGATTAGAGAGACGTAGTCTGATTAATCTAGAAACAAACGTTATGAAACCATACTTACATTTTAATAATTTAATAAATAAATAAGTTAAAAATTAATTAGGGAGATATTAATTTTTAAATAAATAAATGCTATAAAATTTATACTTTTCGCAGATAATGATAAAATAAATAGGCCATAAACTATGAAATTAATCAGAGAGATTCATTTTCAAAAAAATCAACGCTATAAAATTTATATTTACTCACTGATAATAGTAAATTAAATAGATCATAAAATCTATTAGGATATATATCTCTAATTAATATAGAAACGAATATTATAAACTTATGCTTACGTACTAATAGTTAAGGAATGAATAGGTTATATAGTCAATTAGAGATATTTTTAAAAAGATAATTGCTATAAAATTTATACTTACTCGTTCATATATGGATCATATAAATCAATCAATCTAAAAAATTAATGTTATAATAAAACCTATACTTACAGCCTAATAATATAAATCGTTTAAAGATATAATTCTGATTGATCTAGAACGAATATTATAAAACTTGTACTTGCACGCTGATAGTTTAACGAATGAATAAGCTAAGAAATCGATTACAGTAGGCAAATTGCTAATTCATAAAATTTGTATAATGTATTAATCTGATAATAACGAAATAAGAAATTTTATAAAATAGAACAAAAAAATATTTGTTTCTAAAAAAAATGTGCAAAAACTTGAACTCACGGTCTAATAGTTTCGGAAAAACAGATAAGTTATAAACTCGATTGAAGAGATATAGCTCTGATTAATCCAGAAATGTATACTATAAACCTTATACTTCCAGCCTAGGCGTTTAAAAAATAAATCCATTATAAAATTGCCATTTTTAAAAACGCAATTATAACATTTATACTTGCACGCTAATAGTTTAATAAAATAAATAAGTTATGAAAATCGATTAGAGAAAAATTGTGGTTCTAATAAATAGACGTTAGCTTGATTTTTAAAAAGAAATTGTGAAAGACGCATGTACTGTAATTCGCTACCTTTATATAAGAGATTAGCATCTGCGTAATTTAACAGATTTTAAACACTGCCCAGCACCCTGCATAGTAATCTATCGTAGGCCGTGGTGTAAATTACTTATAGTAAAAATAAAATACAAACCGTTGAAAATATACAGGAACACGATGTGAAATCAAATTTTTCTTCTACAGCGCAATTGCGTCACGCGGGTACCATAAATCGCGAAATTACGAGTTTGGAGATCATCTGTACTTAGCCAGTCAATGCCAGTACGTAATTATCTAATTCTTTAAAATTGGTTACATTAATTAATCAGTGTTTTACAAATTATTTCTCGCTCGGAACTCCGACATACATAATTAAACGATATAATGACTATGGAATGTGAACTGCCTATGTCTGAAGAAGTACTCGTTCACTTTTAACTCCTTTCCTAAAACCATATTTTCAAATATGGGACGGATGTTATCAAATTCGATTCAAACACGTTATAGGGAGAACACATCCAAGTACAAAGCTACCATCATATTGCACGTTGTGGGGAGTGCACGTCTATACCCAAGTTAATTTTTGATTTACTTCGAAATGCAATTCAGTTGAGTTCAGGATCTTTAACCCGTTGTGAGGAGTGCACAGCCATGCTCCAATATCCAGCACGTTAAGGGGGCCCACAGCCATGACCCATACCGCAGACCTACGTACTTCGGTTTGGTGGCAGATAAGAGCATCGAAATGTATGATCTACTAGTATTTTTAGATAATCGGTGTTAGGGTAGGGCGAGAGATTGATAAATCGGAAGTCAAAATTTCGGGCAAAACTTAGCAGCAAAAAAAAAATAATAATAAAACTAATCGGATGTTCATTATTTTTATTTTGCTCCCTTACATAATTATGTCAGTCCTAATCTTCATTTTCCCCTGCATTATTCATTATACAGTAATAATCAATTTGCATAGTTACTTTAAATGCTAGATACTTTGTGTTGTGGCTAGTGTATATTATATGCATTTATATTGTGCATTTTGGCCAATGGCAAAATTGGGCTGCACACAAATTGATTGTGTGAAAAATAATTGTGCGAAAATTAGATGGCGTAAGGCTAAAATTGGGCTGTGCAAAAATTGTGTTGAGAGACATTATGCTATGGTCGCGAAGATTGGATTGCAATTATATAATTTTTTTCGATTTTTTGTTTCATTTAACGAAGAAATTTAAAATAATTTAATTTAATTTTGAATTTATTGCTGTTCATTTGGGTAAAATAAAGTTAAAATAAAAATTTTTTCTAAACTAATGAAAAATTTAATCGTTATCCGTTAAATTCTAATAGAGATAAAAATAAATGAATATCAACAATATATCAATATTTTCAAAAAAAATTTTACTACAATCAGTAATTGGAATGTAACATTCAGTCTTGCAAAAAAAAGATTTTAATAACATGTACTGTGTATTATCAAGATAGCAAAAAGAAGAAAAATATTATTAAAATTGAATACAACTTATATAGAGATATAGAAATATGATTCATGAGCTTAAATTATTTTTAAATTTTAATAAAATACATACTATATTTAAAATTTTTTTAATATTTAATAAAGTATTGTAAGAGGGTAGAAATAATAGTCATATTCAATTAAGATATAATTGGAGCTGAAAGGATTTTTGAGATTTATTTATGATGTATAAAAAGAGAAATATATATAAGCAACAAGGAAGACAATAAAGCATTCCTTTATCTACTTATTATATTTTTCAATATATTCACTTATCTTATGGTATATCTCAAACACATTTTTTATATTATATAATTAGCATTTATGATATAGTAACAAACTTATTTTATTAAAACAAATTGTATATTTTTATGAAACAACTAATAAATCTGACATTATGTCACGCCTCAGCTTATGTCATATTTCATAAAAAATTATTAAATAAGGGCTTTAACTTCTGAAATGGCTTCAACTTGACTAGCATAACTTTATCTAATTATAAAATTACTTTTAAATCTTGCATTTTGTTAATTATCAGGTAAACCTAGTTTTATAATGTTTGTACAATGCAAGTTACAAGTAATACACATGTCAAACAATTACTTAACAAGTTTAATTTTTTTATTATTATTTCTTCAGAATATGTACAAAGTATAGAAACATAATTTACAAATCTAAACTTATTTGTTTTATTTATAATTTATTTTGCTATTAATTTTATATACTTAAACATTTGTTTAAATTATATATAATATTTAATTTAATTTTAAAAATATTAAAACTATATTTTTTAAACCTTTTTTTTTATAACTGAAAATTTAAAGTTTACTATTTATAATAAAAATTCTATTCACAAATACAGTATGTCATAAAATTCTAAAAATTGTTTTTAAAGATAATTTTAAAACTCTTCAAAAATAAATCTCAAAATTGTAATAAGAAAATCTTGGAATAAATGTATTGTTTATTATAAAAACAATTATATAATTGATTAGTAAATTTAAAAAAAATATAAATAAAATAATAAAAATATATTTAACATATTAAATTATATAACTAATTCTATTAATATGAATTTTATTAAACTAAAATTTTGAGTAAAATTTTGTTAAACTAAAATTTATCAAAAAACTATTATATTTTAAACTATTTTATTAAATTGAATTTATTAAAAAATATTTTTAAACTACTGTTAAACCTAAAAGTTTAATTTTTCAGAAATAGAAAATTTCACATCAAATATCAATCTACATATTTATTTGCTAATAATAGGCCTATAGTATTTTATCTGCTGAATAACTTTACTTAGAATCTGGAAAAAGGTTTTGGTTATCATTTTTGTGAAATCAAGGATATCGGTCAAATGTTTATAGTATCCAATCAAATTATATTGTTATATCACATGATTAAGTGATAATCCATTAATTTATGAACACTAAGAATTGAGAAACATGTTACAAATTAGCTTTTCATTAATTATTTCCATATTTGTATTATTTGTTACTTTCAATAATTTAGTGTACCAATTATATTTTTATTTATTTTTATATAAATAGGATAATCATGTATTTTGTATACAATGGGGAAATGATAAAGAAATTGTAAGAAAGTTGTAAAGAAAATTGAGAAAGATTTATAGGAAAATTAAAGGTAGAATTAATAGAATTAGGAGTGTAATAATGTTTTGATAATAAACAGTTCTTTAAAGATTATCACAATTATATTTGTCTTCATACAATTATAATTGTTATATCTCTTGTTTTATGATCTTTAAAATCTCAAGTATCTTTTTTTATGAACTATAGCATACCATATTAGAATTATGTTTTAAACAAAGTATTTCCCTGCTATCTGTTCTCCATTATATGCTTATCTTTGAAGTTGGATTGGCATATTAAATTACTTTTTTAAAATTTTTATTAAAATTTTGATAATTTTGATTTAATAGAGTTTTTTGTATATATATCAAATATAACAAGTATGATAATACTATATATTAAATAAATTAAGAAAGATTATTCAAAACACATGAAAAAAAAAGCAAAATAAATTAATATATTAAAATAATACATTTTTCTTTAAATAAATATTAACAGATAATATGTTAACTTATTTTTATAAAGATCAAATATAAAAGTAAAATAAATTAATATATTAAAATAATACATTTTTCTTTAAATAAATATTAACAGATAATATGCTTGTTCACGATAAAAAAAAATATATATTAACAGATAATATGTTAACTTATTTTTATAAAAATCAAATATAAAAGCAATTAATTTTAGTGGAAGACTTTAATATAACTGGTAATTCAACTATTAATAAAATATATAGTATGTAATAAAACTTTTTGGAATTTTTTTTTAAAAATTTTAATATTTTGATTAATTGTAAATTAAATTATAAAAAATTTTTATTAAAAAAATATCATATTATATTAATTTTTAATTAAATTTCAAGTTTATTTTGTTTAAATCCATGAATTTTTAGAATTTTATATTTTATTTTTGATATTATAAAAAAAAAAAAAGCTTTAAAATTCAAAAATTTACAAATTAAAAATTTTTAAAAAAGAAAAATATCTATGTATTAAACTAAAAAAATTTTAAACTTGTTGAATTAAAATTTATAGAATTATAAAATTTTGAATAAAATTTTTATTTGTAATTGATTTTTAATACTTATAAAATTTAATCTAAAAATTTAGCTTCAAAATTTTTTTAAAAACATTTTTATGTAAAATTTATATTATTATATATTATTATATATTATTTATTAATTTTCATACAATAGTTTTTGAATAACAAATAAATAAAAAATTTCAAAAAATTTTGGTACACACTATATAATAGCAAACTTTCAAACAGCTGAGATTAAAAGCAAAATTCTTCAACTTTTAAAATAATTGGGTCTTTACAGATATTTATAAGAATTGAAACTAAAACTTTCGTCTCTAATCTAAATTAAAGAGCTTTATACAACAAAATAGACTTTATATAAATTTTACCAGGCATTTTTTTAAATAAAAAAGTAACCAATATAATCAATAATAATCATATTTTACTTTGCTGCAAGCTTTTATTAACAGATCTTATAAAATCTACAATACATATAGTCCAATGAAAAAAAAGAGAAATCAATAATCACACTTTACCAAAACTTTACAATAGAACAATAAAACAAATTTTCTGAAAAAGTTGAAGAAAAATCATACAACAATGTTTGCAAATAAAATACATATAAACAAAACACAAATAAATAACTTAATACTGTATACTGGTAATGGGACGATCGACATTTCCGGGTCAGAGATATGTGCAACATGTGAAAAGTTTTATTTCTTTATTAATGAAAAAAAAAATTACAAAGTCGTGTACAACCCCTAACTATTACATCAATTTTTGGCTATGCTAGCTTTGCTGATTTTCTCTTGCACACGCCTCTTCTTAATCGCTGGTTCATCACTAGCAGACACCCTATCTTTTAATAATCCAACTATTACCTCTAAAATCCTCTTAACACTTTTTCGCAACTCGGTATCATCTTCGAGGACGGCTTCTGTGAGCGAGATGTGGTATTCTGTTTTACTCGTACAATAGATAGCGTCGGTAGTGTGAAGGATAAAGTACCAGTCTGTTCCGGTACTGACTATACCATAGACATAATCATAGTCAGCTTCGAATGCTTCGTCAACCTTTCGCTTTTTCTTGACCATATCTAGGTTCATCTGACCAAAATAGTTAATAATACGTGACTCTAAAGTGAGAACTCAGTTTCTACTTGAGTATGGAAAAAATTTACTCACATCACACGCGCTTCGACATTGTACTAAATTCTGGCAAATACCTATAGTTGCCTGATTCTACTTGCCCTTGGCTATGCATATTCCAACATTTTATTGTTTATTTTTTTTATCGCGTAGTCGACACGGTCAGTATCTTCTTTGCCAACTATATCGGCCTGGGGAGAGATGACCAAACCATCGAGAAAGCTAACCGATGCATGCAATATTGTCGAAGTGTATTCACAACGCATAGCCTCATTAATGTCTACAACTGGTCCTATGTTCTTTATCCTGCGGAGTATATCCTCAACGCAAAACTTGAATGCTGGGTTATCATCATCGATTTTATAAGTGTTGGCATTATTAAGTATCGAGTATTGTATTATATAAAAATTTCTCACCTGGTATAAACTGTAGAATGCGAGTTACTTCTTCGCTTATGATTCCATACTCTGCCAAGATTTCCTTGAAATCTTTTAAGGTACGATTCGACGAATATGCTCTTAATTTTTTCTCTTTAACCTCTTTAGCAAACTCCACAAGAATTCTTGCAGGTCCACCTTTCATTCCGTAACTTTTAAATTCATCTCTAGTCGTCTTGAGGAATGCGCGTCCGGTGATTTTCTCATCGCGAAGGATTTTGAAATCGTCCTCGTTAAGTTGCAAGTTTTCTTCCCCACGCAAACATTCGATGAGCTTTTCCGTATTCAACTTTCTAACCACTTCAACCAAAGTGGGAGCAGGCCTTTCTTCGGTTATATTACTAGAAGTGGAAGCTGGAGTTGAAGTGGCCGACATTTTGAGCCATACAGTATATGATTTTTTTCGTGGAATTTTATTGGTAGACTGCGGAATGGTACACAAGAAAAAGAGGAAAAACGATAATTTTGCGGGACACGGGTATTTGTGAGAAATGTATTCGATTAATAAATTCAAAAATAAATCTCTACAAACCAAGATACTTAAGTTTTGGGTATGAGCGGGCAATTTTACAAATTGATTCATCAGTGATTGAAGTATGACCACGGAGGTCTAAATTTTCTAAATGGGGACAAGATCGTGCTATTTCGATTACTAATGATGCTATAAATATTAAAGGAATCAAGAGTTATGAATATTATTAAAACCATAACTTCGATTAATAATAAGAATTTGTATATCCGGACATTAATGTAGAATTACATTAATCAAAACATTCAAGATTTCAATATAAGAGTGAATTTATATCCCACGCATTACTCTTAAACTTCAATAATCACAATAAAGAGCCTCAGATGTATTTTTATCATGTGAGCTTTGTTGACAATCTATGAAAAATTCAATGTGTCTACTAAGAAACTAATTATGGTTTCAAGCAATTTTGATGAATTAAAATATTTTGTTGTATCATTTTCAGGTTGTACATTATATATCTTTAGTCGAAAAAATAGCTAATATTCAAATAATTAGTCACCCTAACCACTCATTAATTTTAATTTCCTATAATCACTATTAACCACTGCATATAATACCCTGGATATTAATTGTTTCATCTGAAAAATTATTTAAGGAAAAAAAGAAAAGTGCTATTAAAAAAATTAGGAGGGATATTGTATACTGTGGTTTATGATAATAGAACCAAGGTCACTTTTTTGACTATTTTTTTATTTGTATATTATTTAACATTTTTTTATATAGTAAAGAAGGATCTATGAGCTTCCAATTTTCAGTTTAATGATAACTTGGTTCTAATTAGCTTATTTTTATAATTTTAGATAGGAGATACAACTTTTTTTTGTACTATAGACAAGATTTTGATTTTTTCAAGTTTTTGAATCAATACAAGGTCAGGTTCATAAAGAGTTAATTATATATCCTCTTAAATAATATTTATGGAAGAATTTGTTAAGTTGATATAAGAGATCTACAGTACGTCTTATTATTTTTTGAATTTTTTGAATTTTGTATTTTATCTTATAATTAAATAAAAAAATCACTAAAATTTTATAAAATTTTATTTAAATATGTTTTAAAACTTAAGAATAAAATGATATAAGCTTAAGATTTTAGATGATATAAAAATCTAAAAAAAAATTATATTTTTAAAAAATTTTATCAAGTTATTTTATAAAAAAAACTTAAACAAAAAATTTTTAAGGATCTAAAAAAATATTTTTTAATTTTTTCATAATCTAATAAAAAAAACAGTTTTCATATTAAATTTTTATATTCAATTATGTAAACCTTTTTTTAGGTTATAAACAGACAATTTATAAAATTTTATATAAAACAAATAATTTTTCATTGTGTAATAAATTAACTAATTGTTAAAATATTATGTTTTTTTTGTAATAATTTGAAAAATTGTATTATGCTTTTATATTAACTCATATATAAACTTTGATAAATTTGGTTTATTAATATTTGTTAACTCACATTGGATATAAATTTTAAGTATGATAACAATAAAAAAATTTAAAAATGTTTTCAAGTAATCTTGAATTATTATAGACATATATTTATTTATTTTAATTAATTTTTCGTGCCTTTAAAACTATAACAATAAATTTGATATTCTTAGAAGTGACAATAAAACTAAAAAAACTGCAGACTACAAAAGACAACCTTGGTGACCTAACTATACTTTATTAATTTTGTTTGTGTTATTTTGTAAATTTTTGGTATTAGAGATACAAATCGACTCAACTGACAAATGGCTCGGCTGAGAAATAGCTTAGCTTAAATCTATAGAGTCAAAAATCAGCTCACTTTACTAAAATTAAGCCGCAAGCTGAGCCGAACCAGCTATTTTCATCACTAATTAGTGTTAATTGATCGCGTTGGTTTTTTTCCACCTTATCTCAAAATGCATTACCAACCGAAGTACGTATGAAAGCACGGCTGTGAACCCCCCAACATGCTAGTTAATTGGAGTACGTGTACTCCCTGCAAGGTGCTGGTGGTTTTGTAATTTGGCTGTGTACTCCCCATAATGTATTTGAATCGAGCTTGATAACATCCGTCCCATATTTGAAAACATAGTTAAGGAATGAGTTAATAATAAACAGATACTTCTTTAGGCATAAACAGTGCTCACATTCCAATAGTAATTTCATCATTCCATTATATACGTTAGAGTTCTGAGTGAAAATAATTAGTTGTAAAGTATTAATTACTCACCTGCATGTGGCATTAACTGGCTGAGTATAGATGATCTCCAAACTCGTAATTTCGCGGTTTATAGTACCCGTGTGACGCAATTGCGCTATATAAGGAAATTTTAATTTCGCATAATGTTCCTATATATTTTTACCATTTTAATGATATTTTATTTTTACTATAAGGTACCTGGGCACTTTACATCGCGGCTTACGATAGATTACTGTACAGGGAACTTGGCAGTGCTTAAAATTTGTTGAATTAGAAGTCAATCTCTTATATAAAGGTCGCGAATTTCACACGTCTTCCGAGATTTCTTTTTAAAAATTCAAATTAACATTCATTTTTCCTTAAAATAATTTAATTTCTAACTCTATTTAACCTAACCTAACAGACCCGGATCAAAGAAACCTAGTCTTCAAGATGAACTTCAAAACCTTGCTTATTATTGCAGTAGTTTTTGCTGCTCTATTCTCCGTAACAATGGGAGGTCCATTGGAAAAAAGTAAATAATAACTAAATATTATGTTTATTTTGATTTGATTATTTATCTTTTTCTGAGTAATATTCATTTACATATTTTACTAAATTGTTAGGAGGTGAAGAATTCCTTGTAACTTCTCTTTTGTTTATATAAACATTCGTATATATTTGGTTTAATCTACAGTATCTTTCCATTTGACTATCCATTTCATTGCATATTATCTTTATTAAACCGTTATTCCGTGAGTTTAAGTTTTAGAACAATCATTTTTAAAAAGATGTCTATCTTTCTGATCACCGTAATTGTCTTATCATTATTAGTGTGTAAGTATAAATTTCATAGATTTTTTTTTTTAAAAAAAAAAAACAAATATCTCCTTAATTGACCATATAATCTATTTATTTATTTATTTATTAACTACAGTATTAGCAAGTAAGTAAAGGTTTATAATATTTGTTTCTATTAATTAGAGTAATATCTCTCTAATCAACATTTATTTTAAAAAAACATCTTTCTAATAATTATGATCTATTTAATTTTTGAAAACGAATCTCTCTAATTATTTCATAACTTATTAATTCAATTAAACTATCAGCGAGTAAGTATAAGTTTCTAATATTTGTTTTTATATTACTCAGAATGATGTATTCTAATCAATTTTATTACCATTATTTTTATTAAACCGTTAGCCGGTGAGTTTAAGTTTTAGAATAATCCTTTTTAAAAAGCTATTATATCTTTCTGATTGATTTTTATGAACTATTTTTATCATGTCATTATCAGGGAGTAAGTATAAGTTTTATAGCATTTTTTTTAAAAAAAAAAAAACGAATATCTCACTAATTGAATATACAATTATTTCTTAACTATTAGAAAGTAAGTACAGGTTTATAATATTCGTTTCTACTGTATATTAACCAGAGTAATGTCTCTAATAAACATTTGTTTTTAAAACAATACCTTTCTAATTGATTTTATGATATATTTATTATTATCAGCGAGTAAATATATTTTTATAGCATTTATTTTTTTGAAAATGAGTCTCCTTAACTATTTCACGACTTATTTATTCCATTAAACTATCAGCGAGTAAGTATAAGATTATGATATTCGTTTTATGTTACTCAAAATGATGTCTTTTCTAATCAATTTTATTACTTATTATCTTTATTAAACTGTTAGCCGGTGAGTTTAAGTTTTAGAATGATCATTTTTAAAAAGATCCCTTTTTTGATCGATTTTTATGAACAATATTTATCTTATCATTATTAGTGAGTAAGTACAGTATAAATTTTAAGTATAGCATTTTTTTTTTAAAAAAAAACGAAGAATATCTCTATAATTGACCATGTAACCTATTTATTTCTTAACTATTAGAATGTAAGTACATGTTTACAACATTAGTTTTTATATTGATCGGAGTAATTGTCTCTTTAATAAACATTGTTTTTAAAATAATAACATCCTAATTGATTTTATAATCTATTTAATTTATTATTTTTAGCGAGTAAGTATAAATTCTACGGTATTTAGTTTTTTGAAAACGAATTTCTCTAATTATTTCATAACTTGTCCAACTATTAGCGAGTAAGTATAAGTTTCTAATATTCGTTTTTATATTACTCGGAATGATGTATTACTATTATTTTTATTAAACCGTTAGCCGGTGAGTTTAAGTTTTAGAATAATCATTTTTAAAAAGATACTGGATCTTTCTGGTCCATTTTTATGAACCATATTTATCATATCATTATCAGGGAGTAAGTATAAATTTTATAATATTTTTTTTTAAAAAAACGAATACCGTATCTCTCTAATTAACTATACAATTTTTCTTAATTATTAGCAGTAAGTATAAGTTATAATATTCGTTTCTGTATTAATCAGAGTAATACCTCACCAATCAACATTTGTTTATATTTAATTTTTATTATCAGCGCGTAAGTATAAATTTTATAGCATTTATTTTTTTGAAAACGAATTTCTCTAATTATTTCATAACTTATTTATACCATCAAACTATCAGCGAGTAAGTATATATTAATCAGAGCAATATCTCTCTAATTAACATTCATTTAAAATATCGTTCTAATTTATTTTATGATCTATTTAATTTATTATCAGCGTGTAAGTATCAATTTTATAGCATTCATTTTTTTGAAAACAAATTTCTCTAATTATTTCATAACTTATTTATTTTATCAAACTATTAGTTAGTAAGTACAGGTTCATAATATTCGTTTCTATATTAATCAGAAGAACGTCTCTCTAATCAATTTATTTTTAAAAAACCACCTTTCTAATTGATTTTATGATCTATTTAATTTTTATTATCAGCGGGTAAGTATAAACTTTATGGCATTTTTTGTTTTTTTTTTGAAAACGAATCTCCCTAATTATTTTATAACTTACTTATTTTATCCAACTATCAGAGAGTAAGTATAAGTCGTTTATATATTAATCAGAGGAATGTCATTCTAATTAACATTTATTTTTAAAAAAATACCCTTCTAATTGATTTTATGATCTATTTAATTTATTATTATCAGCGCGTAAGTATAAATTTTATAGCATTTGTTTTTTTTTTTTGAAAACGAATCTCTCTAATTATTTTATAACTTACTTATTTTATCAAACTATCAGCGAGTAAGTAGAAGTAGTGATGCAAAACGGTACGGCTAAGCCATACAAAAATTAATTTGGCTGGCTATTTAATGGCTTGGCTAATAATTGATCGGCTGTAAAATAGCTAAGTATTTAATAACAGAGCCGATTTTTAAGCCGTAAGCCAAAAATGTTACTCCGAATTTAAGTTTAATAAATGATTTACGTACAATAGTTTGTTTAATAAGAATATCGCAAAAAAATTTTTTTTCTTTTTTTTTATCGTTTTAATTATTTTCTAATGGAGCTTGATAATTTTTCTCAAGAAACAACTCTTTCACAAGATTCTGCTACTATTAGCAGTACAAGCTCCACTTATTCAGCTAGTACAAAAAAAAAACCGAAATCCAAGACTTCAAAAGTTTCTCCATATTTTATTCAAAGTACAACCAATAACAATAGAGTTATGTGTATTTTATGTGATCATAATCAAAGAAAAACTTATAGCAAAACAACATCAACTGGTATTCTATGCAAACATCTTAACTCGCAACATCCTGGTTGGAATACAAATAATGAATTGTCTAATCAATATATAACAATTTCAATGCAAGAATTAACGTTAACTCAAAAAACCCAATTCAATATGTTAATTACAGAGTGGATTGTTTCTGATACTTTACCTTTCTCAGTTATTACAAGCAAGTTATTGTCTACCGTATTTCAATACCTTAATGGAACTATCAGCTTACCATCACGTGAAACTATAAAATCAAATGTACATAATGCTTTTGATAGAATGCAAAAAGATGTTCAAATTCTTTTAGAGCAAATTTCAAGCAAAATTTCAATCACTCTTGATATTTGGACTTCACAGGCTAATATATCATTTTTATGTGTTACGGCACATTGGATTGATGACAACTGGAAACTTAATAAAATATTGTTAGATATTAGTGTACTTTCACATCCGCATACTGGAAAAGATATCAATATTTGTTTGCGCAAAGTATTTACAACGTTTAATATTATGACAAAAATATTTGGCATTACTTTTGATAATGGCTCAAATATAATTTCAGCAATACAATTATTGGATGAATATTTATCTGGACAAAGTATTGATATTCAACCATTTCAGTGTTTGGCTCATATTCTAAATCTTATTATTACTACTGGATTATCACCAATTAAAAATTCAATTGAAAAAGTATGTAATTTTGTTAGAACTATTGGATCATCAGCATTACTTACTCAAGATTTTCAAGAACTAGGACAAACTATTGGTAAAAATGAACCAGTTCGTAAAATTCCACAAGATATTTCAATACGATGGAATAGTACATATTTAATGCTTTCAGTTTATATAACTATGCCAACAACAATTGCAGCTATTATACGACAACACTCAAATCTTTCTAAATATCAACTTACAGTACAAGAAAATGCTAATCTTCAAGTAATAACACAATTTTTACGACCATTTTATGAAACTACAAATACTCTTTCTGGAAGCAAGTATGCAATATTAAGTCTTTCAATTTTATTGATAAATGATATTATGGAAATTATCTTGACACAAATTAATGATCCAACAACACCAACTTTTCTTAAAAATACAGCAATTCAAATGTCTAAAAAAGCTCAAAAATATATGAATCAAATTTATAGTGAAATTTCTTTTATAGCTTCAGTACTCGATCCTAGAATTAAATTAGAATTAATATCTAATGACATTAATACTACAGAGAATCAAAAGCTTTTTAATGATATTCTTGAAATCAAATATTCAACAACATCATATCAAACCAATATGAATATGCAGACACAAACAAACTTAATTTATGTTGAACAAGTTGCACAAAAATGAAGAAGAATGAATATACTCAACACAACAGATGAATTTTCGCAATATTTAAATGAAACTATTATACCAATGAATATCGATCCATTAAGTTGGTGGAAACTCAATACTTCTCACTTTCCAAATATGTCACAAATGGCTAAAGATTATTTGGTGATTCAAGCTACCTCAGTACCATCAGAACAAGTTTTTTCAAAAGCAGGTGATACGGTTCAAGCCAAACGTACACGTTTATCCAAAAAAAGTATTCGATCATTAATGTGTATTAGTTCTTGGCTAAAAAATGGAATTAAATTTCAAAAAAAAAATTGAAATACAAATGCAGGT